AACGAGCTGGGCCCAGCTAAGCCTCCCTCCCCTGATCCCTGGCACATAGCAGTGTGACCTTTAACCTGGACTTTCCTCTGAGAGGTGAGACTACTGTCCTTATCTTGATTGTTTCTTAGTGATTGAGTTCCCAGGGTGCAAGGGTTGGTTTGGAATGTTTTCTCAGATTTATTCTAATGTGCTAACACCCACATTCCCACCTCAACTTCATACTCCTGCCAGCCCTGCCAGACGCCTGGGGCTTATCTGTGTCACAGCTGCCCAGGGAGGAAGGGGGATGAAGGGCTGACCTGGAATGAATAGGAGCCCTTCATAGTTGACTCTCAAAACATAGACCTTTAGTCCCAGATAGACTCATTTAATATAATTATTGGCAAAAAGAAAGAAAGGAAAGAGAGAGAGAGAGAGGAAGAGAGGGAGGGGAAAGAAAGAGAGAGAGAGAAAGAGAAAGAAAGAAAGAAAGAAAGAAAGAAAGAAAGAAAGAAAGAAAGAAAGAAAGAAAGAAAGAAAGAAAGAAAGAAAGAAGAAAGAAAGAAAGAAAGGAAGGAAGGAAGGAAGGAAGGAAGGAAGGAAGGGAGGGAGGGAGGGAGGGAGGGAGGAAGGAAGGAAGGAAGGAAGGAAGGAAGGAAGGAAGGAAGGGAGGAAGAAAAGAAAGAGAGAAAAGAAGTGCTATCCAAAAATGAGGCTTAGGGTTAGTCCTTCGTGGACCTAATGAAATTTATTCGAAATAAATCAGCCTGCTGTTTCATTTGGCCTTATTGAAGTCAGTGGCCTTTGTCCAAAGGCTATGTTCAGGGCACGCTAGCATGACTGCTCACCTGTGACACATTTCAGCCACGTGTTTACAATGAAACTTACCCCAAGGACCCCGCCTCCAGTTAGCTGCCCCTCCCTGACTTTTGCAATTCTCAGTTTGCCAGGCTTCCCTAGTGGTGAAGGTAAAACTCTCCCTCACAAGGCCCTCTTCAGAGGTGCCTAATGATTTCATGTCAGAGACACAGACAGAGTGTGAGAACAGGAAGGGCTTTCTCTGGGAGTGTGCTGTCTCCAGCAATGGCATCTGGTTGGAATATCTCTACAAAGCCTGCCAGGTAGAGATTGGACATCTCATCTGTCACGTGCAAGTGAGGAGAGCAGGATATATAGGGAGCCTACAGGCTAAAGGCCCCCCCTGAAACTGGTTAATTCAGATGAGTCTTAGAGAGTTTAGGGACGAACACCAAACCCAGTCTGGTGCTTTGTTCCTAATATGTTGCTTTATGCTGCCAGTCCCCATACAAACTCACCAGTGACTTCTCTGCTGCCTCCTCCCTTCTTCTCTCTTTGTAGAGTGGGGCAGTATTTGGGGAGTACAAGATTTGGAGGCACAGAAGCTGAGACTGGAACTAGAAAGAGGTCCAAGTGAAGAATATAAGGCCTAATTGGTCCCTGTGGCATATGTTTGTCAAGGGAAGGGAATGGTGATAACCTGAAAGGCCTCCTTGCACATGCCTCCTCCGGATTCTGAGAATGCATTCACAAGCCAAGCCAAATGCTACAGGCAGACATGTTTCGAATATAATGGGTTCAAGGAGCTGGGGTAACATCGATGTCATACTTGTTTGAGATGTTTCCATCATCTTCCCAGAATGCGCCTGGGGCAGTCATCATTACAACAACTTCAGCGAAACAGGAGTGCCCCGGAGTGCTCCACCCTCTACTTTGAGAGTTAGGCTTGGTGTATTAGCACACATTCCTGACACTTACTAAAACTCCCTCCTGTGCATAAGATGTTTGGGCTCCAACATAATTGGTTTGTATTTAAATGCCCAAATATGATTATATAATCTTGATTCAGTTAACTGGTCTGACTTGACTCAAGGCTTGCTCAATCATGAGCCAAATAGTCATCTAAATAATAATTAGAACATGACAAACCAGTCTTGCTGCTCTCCAATATTGGGGAATTGAAGGAACTTCCAAGTCTTCAGATAGAGTTGAGGGATCTAGAGGCCCATCTCCCAAGACCGTGATCACTCACCTCTAAGTCTGAGGCTGTGGGTCTGGGATTCATTCATTCATAGTGGCCAGAGGGGGTTCTGATCATTGCTTCCTCTTTAGCATTGATAAAATAGGTGAGGTGGTGTTGTTGGCTCAGGTTTGGTTTCTTCCATGAATTGAAAGCAGAAGCCAGGACTTAAGTTCAGCACAAAGGGCTATAGAGTTGATCTGATCTAACCCTGCACCTGGCTGAGGAACCCATGGCCATCATTACACTATGGCTTGGCCCCTGTTCACACCAGAAGCCCATTGCTTCCACCAATATTAGATGGCTCCAAGTCTTCATATAATAAACTCTTCATTTTTTTATTCCAAACCCACTTTCCTGTCATTTTCATCCAAAGATCCTTTAATCCTTAGGTCTCCCAATGTCATTTCTTAACTTCCTCAACTCCACTCTTTCAAAATAAATTCTACTTCTCAAAATGTTTGCCGTGCTGAGTTATGTTGACCATCAGCTTAGACTCATGGCTTATTATGAAACCCAATCACGAGCTTTGCCTTGACTTTTGAACGTTTCGGCTGCCCCACTATCGAACACCTCCACAGCCCCAGACCTGGTGGGATCAGGGGAATTAAGGAAGCTAGCACACTGTTGTACAAAGTCGTCTTGAAGATGAGGACAAAACTGGAGAGGAAAATGAAATAATTAAAGCTTTTGCCAATATAGTGACTGACATATGTTGGTGAGAGAATCTGAATTTTTTTATCTGACTAGATTTGGTATCAAACTGACAGTGTCATTTATGGTTCATTCATAATGATACTGTGTGATATTCATAATAGACATGGATCCCACAGAGGGCAAATTTGCAGAAGAGGAAGCCAGAAAACCCAGGATCCTGACCAGACATGAAGAAGTTAGAATTAATCACAGTTTACACAACGTGTGGCACCTGGCGTGCTCTGCCGTAGGGAGCCGTGTACCTGCCTGTCTCTGCCACTAGACTGTGAGGACCTGAGAGACAGGAAGCAGGTTCCCTTCCTCACTGTGCCCTCGGGGTTGGCACAGGTAGATTCTCAGCAAATGTTTCATAAAAGGTTTTCACTCCCTGATATTTTATCGGTTTAAACAAATTAATCGGGGATGTGTTCTGGCTTTAACCACATGTTGTGCATCTCTGCACACCTGTATTCATATGGGAACACATCCTCTCCTGAAAACACCAGTGTCTAGATCAGGATAAGATTTACAATAGGAGAGAATTAGTTACTTTTAAAAAGGATTGGCCACATAGCCCTTCTCAGCAATGAACTTCCCTACAACTTTTAGAACGCTCCAACTTACAAAACATTAGTCAGCAATTCTTGGGAGCATGTATAACAAGTGAATGACACCCCATGTAGCTGCTAAAGCTGCATCAGTATATGTTGAATGGTATGTTTGAGCTCAGTCCTGGAAGGCTCAGGGATCAACCTTGATACCGTTTTGACTTTTTCCACACTTCTGCTGGCATAAGTGCCATCAGATCAAGGGGCCTAGAGGAGAAGTAAGAAAGAAGGACTCTCAGCAGTTTGAAGGAAGGTCCTTTGCAGGTTCCTGAGCTCCGGGCAGCAAGAGCCTGAAGGGTATGGTACCTGAAGGCCCAGGTTTCCTGACCCAGAGAGCATTACTAACCACAACACTGTAAATCCAAATGGTCTCCAATGTCAAGGGAATGGGGTTCTATACTTACATGCTGTTACTTAATCACAACAGCCATCCTGTGAGGTGTTTTTCAGGTAATAAAGCTGATAGAGTAATGTCTCCCCAAATCACACAGAAGTGAGGAGTTAGGCTTCAAACCCAGGCCTGCCCTTGTCCATGCAGGGAGGACCTGAGCTTCCAGGGCCCTTTCAAGACCAAGTGCATCCAGCCCACACCCTCCTGTGAGACAATGGGTGTTGGCTCCTTGGGCAGAGCAGCTGTTGTCTTCAGGTCTTGACTTCTAACTACAGGTCCACTGTCAACCCAGAGCTCCTTTGCTCTCTGCCTCTCTTTGTAAATTACTTAGAAAAACAAATCTGAGAATCACATTCTGATGTTGGGGGATGGGGAAGGCAGTGCTCATGTGAGGAGTGCACTGGTGATTACCTGCCATGGTGGGGAACTGGGTTCTGACACTGTTCCACAGTCCGCTCTCCCACCTTCTCCCTGGTCTCCCCTGCCTCTTTCACATAGTCCAAGGGAGGAGAGAGAAGTCACAGTGGTACTGGCATTCTCAGCCTCCAATTCTGTCTTTGCAGTTGTCAGACAGAGACCCTGGCTTCTGATGGCCAACTTGAGGTTCACCTTAGTCTGACCCTATAAGCTTAAAAGAGGAAAGTCTATCACAAGACCCTCAACACCTACAAAGAGGAAAGTGTCACTGTGGCAATATGGATATTCTCAGGTGGTTTCTTTTTTGACCCCAAGATGGCTGAGATGGGTCTGCCCTCTAGAAATAAGTGGACTTAGAATAAAATGGGCTAATCACTTTAGTTTCCCTTTGTTCACCCCAGCCAGAGGAAGCTTTGTGTTAGATGGTTCTGGTCATATTAGCCCCCAATTAATAATCTCCTAGCCTCTTCGTAAAACACATAAATGTCTAATTACTATGTTGTACACCTGAAAGTAATATACTATTGTCTGTCTATTGTAATTAAAAATAAATTTTGAAAGATTTTATTTATTTATTCTTAGAAAGGGAAAGAGTGGGAGAGAGGGAGAAAAACATCAATGTGTGGTTGCCCCTCGTGAGACCCCTAGTGGGGACCTGGCCCTTAACCTAGGTATGTGCGTGGCTGGGAACTAAACCAGTGACCCTTTGGTTTGCAGGCCGGCACTTGATCCACTGAGCCACACCAGCCAGGGAGTAATTAAAAATAATTTCTAAAAAAAGGGAAAAAAACTTGCTTCATCTACAGAATAATGGCCCTTTACCCACGGCCTCACCCCTTCCCTTCCCACCCCTGCCTCCACCCACGCTTTGCCTGCACCATCCCTACTCTCTATCCTCAAACAACCGTGCTCTTTGACACCACTGAGACTGTTGTTTCTTCTATCTAAAATAGCTCTCCCCCAAATCCTCTCTTAGCTGTCTACACCCAGCTCAGATGTCACCTTCTTGTCATAGCCTGCCACAACCTGTCACACAAAATTAATTACTCCCTCAGCCGGATTTCCATAGCACTTTGTACATCACTCCATATTGCTTGTCACATGATATGAGAGTATTCGTTCCCATGTCCGTCTCACTGGTTGGATAAATGCACTCTTTGGAGGGACGGGATCATTTTTTATTCTTACTTGCATCCCCAGGGCCTAGACAAAGGAGGGGCTCAATGAATGTGGTTGAGAAGTAGGAGCAGCAGCAAAGTTTTGTTTTGTTTTGTCTTTCTGCACCAAGGGTCCTGAGAACCTTCTTGGGGCCAGGAGCACAGGACAGGGTCCTGAATGACACGACTTCTTCTCATTCTCTTACTGCATTCTCCAGTGGGACTCGGAGTGGGACAGGACAGTCACCCGGCTCTAGTACAAGGAGGGCATTCAGGAAGCAGATGTTGGTTTGGGGACTCAAAGTATTCTCTGAATAGCATCAAGGTTTCTTTTCCAAACCATGATGATAGCTGCCTAGGAGAGCAGGGTAGACAGAAAGATGAGTCACCATTTACATTCAGGGTAACTTTGAACAAGTTACTTCATCTCTCTTAGATTCATTATTCTCATCCATACAAATGAGCAGATAATGCATACCTTGTGTTGCTGGGAAGATTAATAATTACTATTTGCTTCATTTGTTGTCACACTAAGGGCTCTACAAACACCACCCAGTGAGAAAACAGTAGAGACAGAATCAGAGCTTGAACCATAACGCCACATGAAAAGCACATGGAATTGCAGAAGAGTACAGATAGCTGTAGCCATTAACTGGCAGTGCGTTTAGACCTGAGAAATTCTGTCCTGTGAGGAACTGAAACTGGGGGGGAAGACATTTTTCCTGGGCCATGGCAAATACCTGTTGCAGGAATTGCAAAGGCGGATGGTGCCAAGGACAGATAGTTGTCCACCAACAAATTGTGCCTCACCTCCCATGGACTGGATTCTTTCTGGGAAGTGATTGTCCAGGCAGGAATTACATTTCCTGGCTCCTTTTGCATGCAGGTGAGGCCATGCAGTTGGTTCTCTTACAGAGAAATGACACAGCCCTCTTACAGGGAAATTTCTGGTCTGATCAGAAATGACTTGTGTCATTTGCCGGTCAAGATGGTTAAGAGAAGGGTGTGGATAGATAAAAGGTAATAACAACCCAGGTGGTTACTGATGGATGGATAAATGTAATGTGGTATATACATACAATGGAATATTATTCAACCTTAAAGAGAAATGAAATTCTAACACATGCTGCAACATAGATGAAGCTTGAGGACAATATGCTAAGTAAAATGAGTCAATCACAAAGGACAAATATTGCATGATTCCACTCATATGTGGTGCCTGGAGTAGCCAAATCCATAGAGCCAGAAAGCAGAATGGTGTCTGTCAGAGCCTGGGTCGGGAGGAATAGGGAGTTAGAGTTTAATGGGTACAGAGTTTAAGTTTGGGAAGATGGAAAGGTTCTGGAGATGGATGCTAGTGTGGGTGGTGCTGGACATGGCTCTCCAACACACATAATGGCAGGCTGGCCCGAGGGCCCCCCGCCAGCAGGAATGTGTCCTGTTTTGGAAATGGATTATAGTTCCCTCCTTATCCCCTTTTGGGAGTGGCTTCCTGTCCTGTGACTACTTCTTGACATTTTTTTCATTTTGCATGTACACGCTGGGGTAGGACACGTGCCTCTCTTGTCTGGGACCCCTTAAAACAAGTCTTGGACTCAGGGAAGTACAGTTCTGCTTCACTGATATGCTGCCGCTGTTGCTTCCTGTAACAAGAGTGATAAAGGCTCCGTCCACTCCATCCGGTCCTCCCGGTGGTTGTTTTCTGCTTATCTGAACAAGTAGTCAAGATCTCTGCACTCATCTCCTGCATTAGCAGGTGGTGAGGGTTGCACAATGTCAATGTGCTTTAGGTCACTGAACTGTGTGCTTAAAAGTTGTTAAAATGGTAAATTTTATGTGTATTATACCACATTGAAAAGAAAAAGAAGAAGCAGAGTATGTGATTTCTCTACATCTGCCAGTGAGAAACAGAATTTCCAGGTCCAGAGATCAAGAGTCACACAATGGAAGTTACTTGCTGACTAGGAACCTGGCACCAGACTCCTCTGTGAGTGATAAGTAGACTTCTAATGTGTAAAGCCACTGAAATTGGGGTTTACTTTTTTGGAGCAGTTAGTGGAACTCTAACTAATCTAACACAACCTTTGGCTGGTGTTCACGGCTGATGCCACAGGATGGTAACACACAATGTGGTCCCCTGAGAATGAGATGGGGACAGTTCCAGAGCTTGGCTTGCTTTGGGCTGAGGAGACATTTGTGCTGAGGGCCCACGTTTAAGTTCAGCAGTTCTCAAAGACTGAGTTAAAATCCTTGACTGTGAGATGGATCCCGAGGACTTTGTTACAGAGGAAAGGAAACCCAAAGGAGTTTGTCTCCTTGAAGACACATCACCTGTTCAGTGAAAAGAACTGGGTATGGGCTTGGGTTGTAGGACCACAGAGACAGAGGAAACTGTGGTTCTCAGTCGTCCGGAGCAGACAGGGGAACCTATCTCCACATGCTTTTCTCCGCCCCGCCCTCCGCCCCGGGGCGGGCCTGGGGGAAGTGGCTCCTTGTGATTCCAGCTGGGCAGCAGCCTTAGCTAAGCATTGCACTGAAGGGGGCAGGGATTGTCCTATCCTGTGCTCAAAAAAACAATTGCCAGTGGGAAATGTACCAAGGCTGTTGGCTGTGCCATGACCTCCAAGATCGGTAACAAGAGGAGTCCCAGCCTCAGGGGCAGGGAGGAGGTGGGAGCAACCAGGGGAGGCTCTGGGGCTTTGGCAGAGTCATAGAATCACAAACCGGCATCAATTACAGCTGTGGGAGCTGGTTGTTCAGGCTCTGGCCCCTCTGATTTTGGCGGGAGTCCAAGACCCCTATGCTTGGCAGTGACTGAGGAGCCCCCAACCTCAAGGCAGGCCTCTAAGGGGGATCTAGTCACCTAAAAGACCAGGAGTAATGCTTGGGTTTCACATTAGCATCTGGGAACTTGGACTTCTTCAGCTCATCACAGGACACTGGGAAGGTAGAGAAGGCTGTCTTTGCAATAGAGGGGCTGAAGCTGGAGCCAGACTAATGGAAGTGATCAAAGAGATGCAACCTCATTTCATTTTTAATTTTGCAAAGAATTTAGTGTTTTAATGAATTTGAGCAATTCTAGGTTATCTTATAACAATACTCTTACATGCATTCTTCCTGTGCTCCTAAGTTGGAGAGGAAGCAATGAAGTTAAAGCTAGGGAGCCAGGAATTGCACAGAAATTTGACAGTTGTGTCAAAATCTGGTAAGGTCCATAAGAGTGAGTCGTGCAGGTAATGGTAATGTGAGTTCCATTACAATAAAGATCAAGAATGATTGATTTTTATAGATTTTTCCCTCCAGGGGTTCAATGTTGGTTAAATGCATGATTGCCTCTCTCTTCCTCATTATGGTTTAAAATATCCAGAAGTCTCTGGGAGTGGTCATCACACTGTTCTCGGTTCTTAGCCCCCCACCGGCATTTACCGTGTGATGTGACACCAGGCTCGGCAGCATTCAGAGGTAACAGCACAGCATTCAAAGAAAAGCAAAAGTGTAGACCCTGCCTTCCTTTGCATTCCCTGTCTCTTGGCTTCTCTTGGAGTCAGTCCTCCATCTTCCTAAAAGGTGTCTGTTTTTTTCTCCAACCCTGGGTTAAGGTTTGCATTTTCCTTCACAAGGCCAAAATGGAGGATAAGCACCCTGCCTATTGTTCGAGCCCCATTTAAAGAAAGTTCTGGCTTCTGTTGCATTTTTCAGTCTCTGATGCAATCACAGCCTAAGCCTTGTACAAAAGCCAGCTGATAAGCATCTGAAGCCAGCCTTTGAAATAGTGCCAAGGCCACCAGCTTCCCTTGCTATTTCCTTGGAGCAGGTCCCAGGGCCAGTGCTGAGCTCCAGCCCCTTGTGTCCGCCTGACCTGAGCAGGGCCCAGTTGAGGGTGGAAAACCTTAGGAAAGGGGGACTTTCCCTCACCAATCAGAGGCTGACTCAGCGCTGCCAATCTGGAATCCCAGCTCCCACAACATGACAAATCTCTCCTTGCTGCCAGGATGATCCGTGCCCTCACCGGCTGTCAGTTGCTCGCCTTCATTGGAAGCGCTCACTGGGTCATAGGAATATTTTTCCATTCCCCTCAGCACCTAAGGGGGTTGGTTGTTGTGGTGACTTGAGGTCATTTGGAGACCTGCCTGCTCAGTCTCCTCTGTCCCTCCTGTCCCCTTGCTGACACGGGGAATGGGCAGAGCTAATCCTGAGTTGAGCAACACTACAGGGAGGCCATGCTTGAATGAATAAAACCAAGCTGGGATTATCTTGCCTTGCCAAAAGCAAAGCAGATGGACCCTAACCTCAGGCCCACTTCCATGGAAAGGCTAATGTGTCCAGGTGTCTGCATATTTTTGGCTGGGAGGGATAGAGTGGGCGCGTGTTCCTGGGAGCACCTCTGGCTCCCAGTTTCTGCTTCCAATGAATTCCTTCAGTCTGAGTCACTTTGCCATCTGTGTGCACTGTCCTGTGTCTGCACTCAGATGTGAAATTGGGACCTTGTCTGGAAGTCCATCATAAGCAACCCAAACTCCCATGTAAGGCCTCTGTGTCTGTAGCAGACTCTGCCCAGGGCTGCTCAGGCCAACAGGATTTACACTGTGGCAATGGGAACAACTTCAAATGGATTTTTGATCTTTAATGAACTTTTCTGAGGCCACCCTGACCTCCAGAGATTTCTCACTGCCAAGATCACCCCCCATTGCTAACCAAGCTCATGTTTTTCAAAAAAGTGTTTCATGAAACTCCTGCACTAGAATCGCCAGTGTAGGATGAGGGGGGTGGGGGATATCAGTGGAGGGGTGTGTGTGTGTCTAAGAAAGAGATGGGGTAGGGGTATATTTTTGTCTTTTTGGTTTGAATTTTGTTTTTTGTTAGAACCCTAATTTGTAAGTGAACCTTTACATTTGAGAATGTGTCCCCATGTTATTTACAGTGTCCCCCTCAGTAAAGTGACCTCTTAGGCCATACCCACAAAATACAAAGAATTAAAAGGAACAGTAAATGCCATGAATTCAGGGGTTTTCAAGAATTTTGCTTGAATAACCCTTTAAAAACTGAACAATTATGCACTTCCCTCAAACATTCTTGTGTTGATATTTAAAATTTTTCATCTTAAGTTTAAATAGGTGAAAAATTAAATTTCACTATAACTTTGAAACATATTAATAGTTTAAACATTTTTAAATAACCTGTGTCACTCATTTAAAATTATCCAAATAGAACTTAAGTCTTACAGCAATTGATTTCCTCCATCATCCTTTTAAAAAATACCATGAGCCCTGGCCTGGTGGCACAGTTGGTTGGAGCACTATTCCATGTACCAAGAAGTCACGAGTTCTATACCTGGTCAGGGTGCGTGTGTAGGTTGCGGGTTTGGTCCCCAGTCAGGGCACATGTGGGAGGCTGATCGATGCTTCTCTCTCACTCTCTCTTCCTTCTTCTCTGAAATCAATGAGTATACCCTTGGGCAAGAATTTAAAAAATGAATGCACTCTTATTTAACATTCATAAATATCACATTATTCCTCTTTCTCCTTGAATTTGTATTTTCATTTTTATTCCCCATAGAACTTTATCTTAATAGACACTTATGACAAAAATCTCTTAATCACCTTATCATATTTCTTTTAAAATGTATGCAAATTCAATTTTTTGTCTCTTCTGTGGCCATAAAGTTTTAAAACTGTGCTGTCCAATATTGTAGCCACTACACATATGTGGCTATTTAAACTTTCTTCATTAAATAAAATTTAAAGTTCATTTTTTTTATTCATGCTAGCCACATTTCAAGTTCTTAACAGCCGCATGTGACTTATGGAACTATCCAGGTCAGAGTAAATAGGAAACATTTCTATCATTGCATAAGGTTCTATTGAACAGCATGAACCCAAGGAGTAAAAAGATTTTCATCTGGAATCAGTTATTATTACAATTAATAGTAGCACACAATTCTTTAAAAACAAATATAGCACATTTTGAATTATTGAACATTTTGATAGTATTATAATCCAAAAAGTAATATTAGATTAGATATGCCTTTCTTAATGACACGATTGGTGATTTTTAAAAATGTGTGTATGTGTATTACTTCCTCTAGAATGAGAACAACTTCAGCATCAATTCTACCCTTAATTCTCACTTTAAAGGATTGCGCTAAGAAAACTCATTCAGAATTAAGGGGTTTTATTGCAGTGGTGTTATTTGATTCTTTGTACTTTTTCTGACTGGTGTGCCAACAGTCAGTCATGTTGACAAGATTATCAGTGATTTGTCATCTGATATTAAATGTTCATTAGTTTGTCTTTCACCTTTGTTAAAATAACGAGATCGTATCTGTATTGCAAAAGGACTTATAATCCAATCTTTAGAGTAATTTACCTTCTTGGCCAGAACCAAGAACTTTCAATTGGCTCTTTGAAGTCTGGAAATTTTTACCAGTAACAGGATGACAGGATGGGCCACATCTTTCTTCTACAAACAATGGGAAAAGGACATTTGTGAAAGAGAAAAGAGGAAAGAAGAACAGTCCAAACACAGCGGCATCTCGGGGAGATCAGTTTCAGTAAAGAGGACATCTGGAAATGAGCACCTAGAAACTGGTTCCTTTAATATTATCTGAACTGTGACCCTGTAGAGTGTCTTCATGGACCCTGAGAGCATGCTTTTCCCAGTTTAAAAACCACTGCTCCAGGAGTTCCAGATATTTCTCAGTTCAACTCTCACCATTTCCTCTCTTGACCACTACATTTTTTAAAATTTAAATATGTGAATTTGTTCAACACAATTAAGGTTCTATTTTTCTTTTTCTTCCTTTTTTCCCAATATTTTATACTTTATATACATGTATTTAAATAATATATACATGTATGGTATATAATAAGCATAAATTTATGTATCTATAAATATATATAGTATAAAATACTTAAGCAAATACCTATGAGTTCATCACTCAACTTAAGCAGTAGAACAATGCCCAATGACCCTAATGTTTCAGCTTCCCTTCTTCTGTCCTTCCCAGGACATGATCAGATTGTACACCCCTCCCCCTTGAAGTTACACATGACTATGTAACTTGCTCTGGCCAATAGAATGTGGTAAGAAGAAGCAAAAAGTGCCACTGCTGGATGAACTTTAAGAATCAGTGCATGATTTATTATGTTCCTTCCCCTGCCACACCTACTAGAGACATACAAATTGATGGAGGCCTATTAGCTTGCCCATAACAAAGCTTTGTTGTATGATCCACTGAGATTTGAGGTGTTATTTGTTACTGGAGCCTAACTAGCCCATCATAACTGAAACAGAAATATCTCCGAATCTTTGTGTATATTCTTCAGCAATGGTACCCTCTCCCTCCCCCCGAGAGACAACGCTAACCTTCCTTTTCTTTAAGGTTTTACCATATATTTATATCCATAAATAATATATTTTGTTTTTAATGGTGTTGGGAGAACTGGACAGCTATGTGCAAAAAAATGAAACTCGAGCACCAACTTACACCATACACCAAAATAAATTCAAGGTGGATAAAACACTTAAATATAAGTCATGACACCATTAAAGTCCTAGAGGAGAACATTGTCAAGAAAATCTCAGATATTTCATGCAGAAACTTTTTTACTGATATGTCCTCTAGAGCAAGGGACATAAAGGAAAGAATAAACAAATGGAATCTCATCAAAATTAAAAGCTTTTGCACGGCTAAAGAAAACAGTATTAAAATAAAAAGAGAGCCAACTGTTTGGGAAAACATATTTGCCAATGATACTTCAGACAAGGGTTTAATCTCCAAAATATACAAAGAACTTACACGACTTCACTCTAAGAAGACAGGCAACCCAATTAAAAAGTGGGCAAAGGACTTGAACAGACATTTCTCCAAGGAGGACCTACAGAAGATTCAGAGACACATGAAAAGATGTTCAATATCACTAGCTATCAGAGAGATGCAAATTAAAATCACAATGAGATACCACTTTACACAGGTCAGAATGGCCATCATAAACAAAGCAACAAACAACAAGTGTCGGAGAGGTTGTGGAGAAGAGGGGACCCTAATCCATTGTTGGTGGGATTGCAGACTGGTACAACCACTGGGGAAAACAGTATGGAATTTTCTCAGAAAACTAAAAAGGACCTGCCTTTTGACCCAGCAATTCCACTGCTAGAATTATACCCTAAGAACACTGAAACACCAATTCAAAAGAAACTATGCACCCCGATCTCCATAGCAGCACAATTTACAATAGCCAAGAGTTGGAAGCAACCTAGGTGCCCATCAGTAAGTGAATGGATCAAAAAATTATGGTACATATACACAATGAAATTCTATGCAACAGAAAGAAAGAAGGAGCTACTACCCTTTACAACAGCATGGATGGAACTGGAAAGCATTATGCTGAGTGAAACAAGCCAGGCAGTGAAAGACAAATACCATATGATGTCACCTTTAACAGGAAGCTAAACAACAAAACAAATAAGCAAGCAAAATAAAAACAAAGACACTGAAATAGAGAACAGGGGGACAGTGACCAGAGGGGAGAGGGGAGAGAATTTCAGGGGGAAAAGGGGAAGGATTTACAGGAACTAGTATAAAGGACACATGGACAACAACTAAGGGGGGTGGAAATGGGAGGGAGGTGGGGAGCACTGGGGGGAGGGCTGGAATGGGAGTAAAAGACAGAAAACTGTATTTGAACAATAATTAAATTTTAAAAAAGATAATTTCCACACTTTCAGTTTTATATTTTAATTTTAAATCTTTAATAAATATACATGTATTCATAAAAATAATATATTTTGTTTTTGAATTCTATAAATATGAGATCACATTCTTATTTTTATAAAATATTTTTCTGAGCGTCATTGACACTATGAGTATACCACAATTTACCCATTTTACTATTTATAAATACTTACCTTGGTTTTTTGCTTTGTTTTTACTTATAAAACCACTATGAACATGTTTGTACACATCTGTTTGGAAAGAAGTGTAACATCTTCTCTGGAGCAGCAGTTTCCAAAGTGTTTTCTAAGCACTTCTGGGAGCCTCTGAGATCCTCTCAGGGGAATCTGTTAAGTCAAAACTATTTTCATAATAATACTAGGATGTTACTTGCTTTTTACTCTCACAAATAACAATGGAGTTTTCCAACAGCTACTTGACACGCTTTATCATAAGACATGGATACAGAAGCAGATAGGAAAATCCAGTTGCCTTCCATGAAGTCAGATTTGCAAAACTACAAACCAATGCCACCTTTCTCACTAAACTGTTTTGCTTTGGAAAATATAGCTATTTTAAAAAAATAAACACATTATTTATGTTAGTATGTAAGGGGTTTATCACTGTTGCTTTTAAATGAATTACTAATTTTTTTAATACTTTGTCTTAAGTTCTACTATTGTAAATATAACTCACCTAAACAAAAGTTATCTGAGGTCCTCAATTCTACAGTATTTCAGAGTGAAGAGGGGTCGTCTGGCACTACTAGTCTGAAAAGGAGCTTCCCAGGAGAAAAGGTGTTTTCTACTTTTTGTTTCCTGTCCTGGAATAAAGAACCTAGAAGACTTGATCCTGCCTGAGAAACTCAGAGAGGTAGAGCCAATTTTTGCATTCTATATTCCACAGCATTCTCAGGCAGGGGCCACAGAGGGCTTCTAATATCCCTTCTGTGAAAACAAACACACACACACACACCTGGCAGTAATTTCACTCACAGGAAGCAGACCATGTGCACAGCAGCCTTGAAGAATAAGAAACCATCCTGATTTTTACCAGGAAAAATGCTCCTGGGTTGTGTCTGCTCCCTCAATGCCCTGTCCCTCCTCCTCTCCCACAAATCTCCCACTTCCGTCACAAGCTGGCAGGAACTTGCTGTTTCTCAGCCCTGGGAGGCCTGCCAGAGGCCTCCCATTTTTCCTGAGAGGTTCTCTTCTATTTCTAAACAGAGTTGTTTAAAACCGGATGCCACAGGAGCTCTGGCTCCTCGACCTTCAACCCCTCTTGTAACCTCTGGCCCCATGGAGGGGCCCCTCCTCCCTTCACTGTTCCTGATTTGGAGCCCACAGTGTAACCACAGCAACTTTCTCTATGAGATGGGCAGGTACGGGCTTCGGGCCAATGTGGGGGAAACTTCCAAAGGAAATTTCACTGAACCATCACTGAGGCTCCCAGAAGAACTTTCAGCCATTTCTTCCCTCAGTTCCTTCCATTACCTTCTCCCCCTGCCTCTATGTCCTAGAATCCTTACACCAGAAGAATTAGACCAGCTCCTCTAGTCCTAATCCCTCACTTAGGGCCAGACAAACCAACATAGATTACAAGGGTATGGCTTCGCTGAAGAAACAACCAAAGGAGTGTCTACCGCTTCCATTCATTTAGTTCTAACACATCACTCCTTAAGCAGAAGGTGCTCATTCATTCATTCATACTACCATTGTTCATTCATTTTCTATTCTAAAAGGTATCTACTATGTACTAGCTACTGTTCACAGTACTGTGCCCTTGTGAATTGTGTGTACTGATGGATGTTAGAAATGCAATAGAAGGAAGGAAGGAATAGGAAGTCGTTGAAAATAATAATAAAGAGAGTAATTAGAAGGCTTCTCATTTCCAGAAAATGACAACAGCCTTTGGCCCTGTTGCAATCTTCTGGGTGCGTCTAGGGCTCACCAGGCCCGAAACCCAGATCTGGCAATCAGGAAAGCCAGAAACCCAGACCAGAATGCAATGGTTAATGGGAGTGAGAAACAGGAAATGTGGCTTTGAAGTTCCTCCAAGTCAGGTGCAGGAGGTGAGCCATCTGAAACTTCGGTGGGCAGACCCTGGAGCCAGCAGCAGTGAGCCTCTCTGCAGATGTCTTCAGAGTGGCTGGCAATCAGAGGGTCTCCCTCAGACTCAGGAGGGGCCCTTGGCCTATGTGCCTGCGGCTGCTATTCTGGTTGTTGTAGGAGCTGTGACATTATTATACCCGCAGGCCTCTGACGATGACAGTGAGGGAGGACCCCGAAAGAAACAGCTACTGCCTTCCTTAAGAGCTGTGGTGATGTCTCTGTCTCTGCAAATCAAATTCAGTTTCCCCGCAGTGAACTGGTCATCTGGGAGGGGGTGAGTGAGAAGGGGACTCAATTCCCGCTCCTGATTATTGTTCTTGGGCAATGCCTCCAACATTTTGCTTTCAGTTTCCCTGCTTCCAGTTTATCTGTCACATGGATTGTGACCTGTAGATACTCATTCATTCATTCATTCATTCATTCAAAAAACATACTCTGAGTAGGTGCCAGACCCTGTGCAGGGCACTGGGAATGCTCTTTGAGAGGAGAGGCATGGGTCCCGCCCTGAGGGTTGTAACGGGACAGACAGGCACCACCAGGAACAGGGTGCGCTTGAGAAACACTCTCAGAAGGGACCCGGGAGCCTGGTGGTCTGGAGGGAGACGGGAGGGCACTCCTGCCTCCACCTTGGGCCACCCTGGAGAGTTCAGCCAGTGCTGGTTTCATTGTGCTAGGTGCTGGGATCTCAAAGTGTTTATCTCGGAAGAGACATTGAGCTCCTTCAAGATGAATGAAAATCAGTTTCCAAGGCAGGCACCTGGTGAGAAGGGAACTGGGGAGTTTGTAGTCAGAGTAAACAGCTGGTACAAAGGCTATGAAGTGGGAAGGAGCAAAGTTCACAGCAGGGCCAGTGAGTGGTTCCCAAGGTCTGAGCCGCAGTGTGGGTGTGGGGAGGCGGCCTGATTGCAGGGGAGCTGGGGCTGAAGGGTGGAGAAGCCGGAGGGTGCGGAGGCTGTGCCAGGGGGGTTTGGACTTTATCCTATAATAAGAAAAAGGAACTATGGAAGGTTTTTAAAGCTCGGTATAACATAATTGGATCTGAGACATAAACTCATACACAAACACATATATAGTTATGTATTAACACACTACGTATAACAATCAATTAAGATATTTAAATATTCTAAACATATGCACATTTAAAAGACACATGTATGCATACATTTCAGCCATATAATCTTGGTAAGATAACTATGCTTTTCTTCCTCTATTCCGTCTTCCCTAGCCAGCAAAAGCCTGCACATTGCCCAAGAAAATAATGATTCTCTTCACAGAAATGTAACGAGAATAACACAGTTAATATTCAGTAGGTGGTTGGGTTTTTTTTCCTTTCTTCCAAATGGTGCTCTGGAGAATCAGTTGGCAAGGCTCTTGGGAACCCAATTTAGAAGAGAACAGAGAAGAGGGGCGGGCAGATAACAGCCCCTCCGCAGAAGCCTTCCTCCTCCCTCCCCATGGGCGACGGGGAAGGGGACAGGGGCGGGCTGTGAGGGGTAGCACAGAGGAAGGCACAGCCTTGGGGATGGAAGGTCCAAGTGAGGGACTGCCAGCACCTTGGATGCTGGCACTTCTCTTTTTTTCCCCATGAGCAGATCTCCATGCCGTGTCTCTCAGTGGGGCGAAGTTATCTGTCACCGCTGGGTGAGCGCTGCTGGGGCGGGGGGGGGGGGGTCACACCCCAGCTGGAGGTGTGCCTGAGACAGGCAGCCCTATCAGACTGGCTGTGTGGAGAGGCCTGCTTCCCCCACTCTAAAAATACCCCGGAAGTGTAGTTCTTGACATCCCACGCAGGAAAGGGAAAGAGTGGTGGGAAGGGGAAGCCATATACATACAGTGTACCATTAAAATGTTTTTTGAGGTGACTTACCAAACCGAACACAAGATTTTGGGGGTGGGGAGGAATTCGATAAAGAAATCATGAAAGGAGAAAATAAAGAACAGATAGAAGAAAGGAGATTAAGTAGGAGAAAAGTTTGTACTCACTGATCTACAATGGCCTTATAACATTGACAAAAGTAGGAAATGAATTAGAGTTTGAACTTCCTAGAGACAAAGTGAAAATGAAAACAAAATTGACAATGTACAAAAGATAAGAGAAAACTAGTTCCTCTGGAACAGCTTTCCTTTTTCTTGTTCTGAGACCTGAGTGCACGTTTACCTCACCCCCACCCCAGCCCTCACAAAAGAGAAGCCCTGGGCTGTCCTCACAGCTTTTATTTTTTAAATTATTTTTCAACTACAGTATTCTGTCTTTAACTCCCATCCCATCCCACCCCCTCATGCCCCCCACCTCCCTCCCCTTTTCACCCCCCTTAGTTGTTGTCCATGTGTCCTTTATGCTAGTTCCTGTAAATCCTTCCCCTTTTTCCCCTGAAATTCCCTCCCCTCCCCCCTCTGGTCGCTGTCCCCCTGTTCTCGATTTGCTTTTCAGCGATCTTTACAGCACTGTTTTCTATGGCAGTTTCCATGGGATCCCTGTGGATACTCCAAAGCTTGATTAGCAGTTCTGTGAGGTGTCAGAAAAGGAAGGCCAAACACATCAACCCACGGTGGCAACCGTACCTGATCTGGATCTGAGAATAAAATCTGCATTGTCTAAACAACAGACTGACATCCTTCAAGCAATCCTCCACAATGCTTGCTACAAGTTGTGTCATTCACAGAAGTTAGTAAATTGGAAAGAACCCAGCTAGAATAATTTTCTATAACCATTTAAAGGCAGATCAGTAATTTTAAAAGTCGATCTAACACATATCCAAAGAAATTCTAGAAAGTCATTAACAATTACTTTCTATATAGTAACTTTCATGATCTCATAAATGTCTATAATACTACAGTTAAATAAAAAATCAGTAGCAAAATATAATGTACAGCATGAAACACTGAGAAAAAAAGGAAGGACATAAAATATTAATTGGTTACTTCTAAGTAACCAATTAAGAGAGGTGGGTGGGATGGGAGAATATAAAATGTTAACTGTCTCTCTGTAGGTGGTACAATTCTACTGGTTTGTCCTGGTCATAGTTTAAATATCACGCTCTGAGATAATCCCAGGAAGCACTAGAAGAGGGTGGAGAAGTAAAACAGAGAAAGGAAGACAGCCAATAAGAAGTGCACTGAGTGGGTTACTACTATCAGCAACAGGAACTAAATCTCCCTAGGGGCCCTCTGAGAGACAATACGGAACATATCTCAGGACTGTCCCACTAAAGAGCTGGGTTTTCACCCACCTACTCTCATCTCTCATTGTTGAGAATTGCTCCCTGGGGCCTTCACTCCAGGCACTTTTAACCTGCCCTGGTGCAGGCCAAATAAGCTCCAATGGCCAGAGAAAGTCCTCAAGGAGGGGATGGAGGTGCTGAAGAAAGGAAGCCATTGACATGCTGTATGAGGGAACTGTCCACCCACTGGGGGGGACCTCTAGCACAGGTCAAGAACTATGTGCAGATGATCAACACTATGATTTCTAGGTTTTCAACATATACTGTTTGTGCTATCAGAAAAATATTTATAAACATCAATTTGTCAGAAGCTACCTGTTGACACCTGTTATGAGAATTAAGGACCTGGCCATGACTCTCATGAACAATAACAATTGCCTCTCTGTCCAAAGGTGCACTGGGGCAGTACTCTTGAAAGAATGAAGTTTTTCTCAGAAAGTACTTCTGAGACCAATCTAGAACACATTAAAAAGAGAAGTCAGCATCTCAAAACTATAGAATAGCTGGCCACATTGATGATAGCTTAAAATTTGTTCATGTTGGGAATTACCAACTATCTACCCAGAGCTATAGAGCTCAGTCATGCGTCATGAAACATTTAAACTGGAGCATTATACTTTCCAAGGAAAGATGGCTTTCACTTTAAATTCATAATCACAGATGTCAAGTGGGTACCCAGCACTGCCTGGCAGCAGTAAGTTCATCTTCCTCATTGTTGGGGCCATGAGAATGCCTTTCAGGGAGC